ATATATAAAATATCTCTTTTTTAGGATTATTCTAAAGATTAAGTGGGCACATTGAAAATATGTATGTGAGACAGTCACGGTGGTACACAACTGTAATCCCAGCTACTTGTGTGGCTGAGGCAGGAGAATTACAAGTTCAAGTCCAGCCTGGGCAATTTAGCAAGACTCTGGGATGTAGTTCAGAGTGCTGCTGGATTTGATTCCATGTGAGTGTGTGTGCGCATGCGTGTGTGTGTGTGCGTGTGCACGCGCATATCAGAAAGTCTGGATGGGTTTGGAAAAGCCAGACGCATGGAGCGTGCCAGTGAAAGTGAGGGTTAGGGAATTCTGGGGCCGGCACAGGCTGGAGAGAGAGACATGATGCCTGTTTTACAGTCGGCTCTGGAAGGCTCAGACTAGCATCAGCCAGGAAAGCAGATCAATACCTGTGAATTCTGTTTCTCTGGGAGATGTGACAATCCATGTCACTGGCTCCCTGGGGGATAGGGGAAATGTGGGGTGAACGGTATGGTCTGAGTGGGAGAATGCAAGTGTGTCCAGCAGCTAGGGGACCTGAAGTGAGGAGCAAGTGGTGGGACCACCCAGCGTAGTGTGAATGAGTCTGAGTGCCCAGTTGTGTGGTGGCAAGAGGAGGGTTGTCCCCAAAGACATCAGCTTGGTAGGGCTAGGAGGTGAACTAGGTGGGGTGACAGTTCCCAAGAGACCCCCGGAGAACAGATCGAGAAAGGCAAGACGATGGCAGTGAGATGAAAGATGAGGATGGACAAATGAACAGGGAGAAGAAGACAGAAGACGTTCGGAAGGAATATTACCTTTGTCCTTTTTCTTTCAGGTGTTGGAGTTTGAGCCCGGGGCCTCATAGCACTAGGTAAGCACTCTGACACTGAGCTCCACTCCCACCCCCTGGTCATATTACTCTTACCATTAATGAATACTTGGGGAGGTTATGGAAAGTATGAGAGTCCCTCCATACCCTTCCACATTTTGCGGGGGTGCTGAGCGACAAGCAATGGCTTATAAAGTAACACCAGTTCCTTCTTCCCTTTATTATTCCTAAAGTTAAGCCACTGACTGGATTGATGAAAGAGAAAACGTTATTCCCATCCAACCACTCAGATCAGCCAGAAATGAAACCTTCTGGCTCTCAGTATCTGTGCATTCTACTAACTCAGAGACCTAAATTAGCCCAGAGTCCCCAGAGGCCAGACATACATAAACAGCCCACAGCAAAGCTCAAAACGAATCTAAATACACACAGTCAAAATAAAACCTTCCATACAGTACAAATTACACAGATCTTATCTGGTGAGAAGCCAGGGTGAATCAATGAACAGCATAGTTTGTATCTAAGCCTGAGCCTTTCTTTTGTTTCCAAAGGGTCGATGCTGTAGGGACTAAAAGGAGGCCTGTTCTGAGGGTTTGGTATGTCTTGAGTGTTCTGGGACCTTGGAAGAGACAACAAAGCTAGATTTTTGTCATCTAAAACCCAGTTGCTTTAAAAATCACTTAAAGGTCAATCACAGTGGTGTGAACTTATAGTTTCAGCTACTCAGGAGGATCACTAAAGTCCGGGAGTTCAAAGCCAGCCTGGCAACATGGTGAGATTTTATCTTAAATAACGTAAGCCAGGTACTGTGGCAATATGCCTGTAATTCCAGCTACTTGAGAGGCTGAGGCAAGAGGATAGAAAGTTCAAGAGGACTCTGAGCAAATTTCAAAGACTGTCTCAGTCTCAAAATGTGGTTTAGTCTCAAAACGTGGCTTAGTGGTAGCCTAGCACATTTGAGCCCCTAAGTCCAATCCCTAGCACTGCAAATAAATAAACTATAAATCAGTTTAAATATAGCCAAGCAGTCCTTCCCATAGCTTCCTGGTCAAACCCAAAGGTCTCTTAAGAATAAGGTGAATGAGAGTCTAGGCAAGTTGGCCCACACCTGCAATTCCCAGCACTCTGGAGGATGAGGCAGGAGGATCATCTGATGCTCGAGGCCAGTCTCATCTATACAGTGAGTCCAAGGCCAGTCTGAGCTACATAGTGAAACCCTGTCTCACCACCCCCCAAAAAGAAAAAAAAAGATAAATGAATAAGAATAGAGCAAGAAATAATAATCCTTTAAAATTAACTATATATCATGGATTTTATGAAATGTCACCGCTCAGCTATATATCTATACCAAATTTTAAAACTGTCTTCATTGTACTTCCTTCTTTGTGGCACAGACAACATAATATAAATTGTTCTAACTGATGTTGAATCACTGTGAAAATTTATTGTTGAGATAGTTGATATTGGAAGGTTCCTACAGATAATCTAAACCCCTACACATAAATTTCTATCCCGAGACTAAGATTTCTAGAATATATGAGCCAGCAGAGGATTCTAGAGAAATTATTTTTGCCTTCAGTTATTCATTAAGGATAGTGAGCAAATCTTTTTAAAAGAAAGCTCCTTTCAGCTTCAAGTTATCATTGCCAATATTTTAGTTTTGTTATTATTGTTGCTTTTGAAAGAGAGCCTTGCTATATTGTCCAGCCTGACCTCAAACCCTCCTCTTGCTTTAGTCTCCCAAACACCATTACAATGAAAATGCAATCAAAGAGGATGTTCCTAATTTTCTCTTCTAATTTCCTACAAAACAGGTAAGAAAATTTATATGAATTAGACTAATGTAACTAAAATTTTTTCTTTGACTGGAATGATTATGATTATCATTGTAATATTGTGCTCATAGCCAAGTATATGTGAGAAAATGCATTGCTACATGACTCTATATATCACAATATTTAACAATAATATTGTCTTTTGAGCTTGATCTATTTATTTGTCTTATCAGTTGTTATCTCCCCAGCACTGGATACAATGGTTAGCATCCGGTGTGAATGCTCAGAAAACGTTGAAATTTATTTTCTGCTACCGACTTTATATTTCAAGTTAACCCTTTATATTTCGATTTAGCTCAGTAGTGTGGTGCCTGCCTTGCAAGCACAAGGTCCTGAGTTTGATCCCTGGTACTGGAAAAAAAAAAATCAAGGTAGCCCATAAATCAGCAATAGCAATTAAAATCAAATATGAGGTCAGAAAAGTGGGATATCAGAAAATTTTACCTGTTTTCGCTGAAACAACCTGAAAAGGAAAGTTGTGAAAATTAGAATCATAGAGAAAAACATAAATCAGAGCAATAATAAATGTATCATAATATTTCTATACAAAATGTAAGCAATCTTTGAATTCACACAAGTATTTTTCTGCACAACTCATTTCCCAGAGCTCAAATCTACCACAAAGCAATTCTAAATAGAATTAGAGTCTGGAGACAGATCACATTACTATGGAATTTTTTCTTCTGAATCTGCCTATTGAACTAGATCAGAAGCCACTGACAGATTTTTCAAAAATCTTTGTTCTTAAAATATAATGATAATATTGTTCTACCATATTACATTAAATTTCAAAATGCAAACATATATAATCTTGTTATGGTCCTAAAATACTTTGATTTCTATCTCCCACAAAAAAATGAAAGATAATGAATGTGTCTGTTTTCTTCCCTAAATAGTTGCAGGTTGTTGGAAAGGTGAACTCACCATTTTAAGACAGACGAGACTGAATCCAATCAAAGACAAACATTTCTCTGGTCCTCTGGCCATTCTGTTGCACATAGCTCTCACATGGCACACAACAAGATGTTCAGGGTCTTCCTGGTTCCCCAGGAGGGCAACACCCGAGCTGCTCTGATGCTGGGAAGGACCCTGCGAAGTCGCTCCTCCCCTTTGGTGTGGAGCTCACCTGTAACTAGGGGCACTGGAGACTGGCAGGGACAGACATTACGAAGACTGAAAAAAAAAAAGAGTTGAAGAAAGCCATGCCAAACAGATTGATTTTCAGCAAAGGTGGAAAGGTAATCAAAGGAGAAAGGACAGACTTTTTCAACTGATGATGCTGGAGCGGTCGGGTAACCATGCTTGAAGCTCTAGGTTGAATCTCCAGCACCGAATAATGAAACAAAACCAAAACCAAAACCAAACCAAACAAAAAACCCAACATTAACTTTGATCCAGACTTTACATCGTATTTAAAAATTAATTCAAGCTGGGCATACTGGCACATACCTGTCATCCCAGCTACTTGGGAAGATGAGGCAGGAAGACCATTTGGGCCCAGAACAGTCTGGTCCACATATGGAGACCCGGTATCAAAAAATTTTGATCAAAATGAATCATAAACCTAAATCTAGTATCAAAAACTATAAAAATGTCTAGAGAAAATAAAATAAAATCTTTATGACCTTGAGGAAGGCAAAATTTCCTAGATACAACACTGAAAACATGATCCATTTTAAAAAACAATAAACTGGACTTTTCAAAACAAAGAACTTCTGTGCTATTAAGGAAATAAAAAGATAAGCCACAAGGGAAGTGGTGGCAGACCTACCGCATGAGTGCCACAGCACCCTGTTACTAAAAGCTCTAAAACATTGATGGTAAACCTTTTAGAGACCAAGTGCCCAAACTACAACCCAGAATGCATTTATTTTTCACAAAATGCCAGCACTGCGATTAAATCTGAATATGTAAGTTTTAGTTTAGAAAAAAATAATTGTCAATGGGCCAGGGATGAAGCTCAGTGGTGTTGTACCTGCCTGGCAAGCACAAGGTCCTGAGTTTGATCCCCAGTATCACAGAAAACAAACAAACAAACAAAAACTAGCAATCTTATACTTGGCTGCTGGGGGGACCTGGATAGCACACTGAGAGGGCTCTGTATGCCTCCTGTGGCAAGGTTTGCCATTACTGGACTAGGGGAAAATACCTGCAAACATGTATCCAAAAAGGGCTTATATTCTATATGTGGTGTGTGTGTGTGTGTGTGTGTGTGTGTGTGTGTGTGTGTGTGTGTGTGTGTGTGTGTGTGTATTTTATTCTCAAAACCCAATAATAAAATAAAAATGGGCAAAAAATGTAAACATACTTCATCCAAGAAAATACTCACACGGAAAATAAGTGCCTGACAAAATCCTAACATCATTAACAATAGAAGTTTGCAAATGAATACAACAGTGAGATCTCAAGTGCGTACTTACTACATGTCTACAACTCGAAAGACTATGCCAACTGTTAGCAAGGATGTAGAGACCAGAAATCTCATACCTGATGGAAATGTGAAATGGTACAACCATTTTGAAAACAACTGATTCCTAAAACGTGTTTTTTTTGTTCTGTTTTGTTGATACCAAGGATCGAACTTGGGACCTTGCTCTTGCGAGGCAGGGGGTGGAACCACTGACCTAAATCACCAGCCCGTGATTGATTTACATAAAAGGTATATGTTAAACATTTTAAGGAGGGTCAGGGATTTAGCTCAGTGGTTCCATCCCATGCCTCGCAAGGGCAAGGTCCTGAGTTCAGTCAGTGGTACAAAACAAAAAACAAAAAAACAAAAAACAAAAAACAAAACAACAACAACGACAAAAAACCTATGCCAAATCATTTCACTCCTAAGTATTTACCCAAGAGAAATGAAAAAACATGCCCATACAAAAACATATTGTATTGTTTTAATCCCTAGGCTATAAGTAAACCAAAAGAAAGATTTATAGAAAGTGTAAGAAGACATTCTTAGGTATGGAGGATATGTACATCATTGGAATTGTGTGATGTTTCCTGAGTATATATCTGTATTAAAACATGCTGAGTTTATGTCTTAAAAATGTGTGATTTGGCTGGGGATTTAGTTCAGTGGTGCCAGTCCCTGACTAGCAAGCACAAGGTTCTGAGTTCAATTCCTGATACTGGAAAAAAATGTGTGTGATTTATTTTATGTCAGTTCTGCCTAAAGCTGCTTTTAAAAATCAAACTCCAAAACTCTTATGCTCCTTCCACTAAACCACCCTGACTTCCTTGAGTTGAATATAAATACAAGGCATCTTAACAACAAAAGCATATTGGGTATCTCTCTACTGTATACCAAGAAGCATTCTGGTCACTGGGGCACAAACATAAACAAATCAGAGCCCCGCACTCATGGAGCACAAACTCTGGTAGAGTAAGACCAAAATAAGCAGAACAGTAATTAAATATATCAAGAGTTATAAGATGTTATGGAGCAAAATGAAAAAAAAAACCCCACAAAAAACAGCAGAGTAACAGAAGAGAATATTGAAGGACAGAGTGCTAGTTTATATACAGGAGTTAGGGAGACCTATCTGGCAACCAGATGCTTTAGGATAGGTGTGAGGGAAGCGGGGAGGTGAGGTCTTTGGAAATCTAGGAAAGGAACAGGCCAGGCAGAGGGAGAGGGCTTGGTTAGAACGTTTGAACTCATGGCCCCAGCTGCAGGGAGCACGGGTGGCTGACAACTCCAGCGGTCTCTCTGGCTGATGAGCTTCCTTGCTTAGTCACACTCCCTACACGGGGGAGCCATATCCAGCCTCTGGCAGGTGAGAGTACCCACGCTCCTTGCCTGAATTCTGGACAGCTCTGCTGGGGAGCTCCGGATGGTGCCCCAAGCTACCCGCTACAGCTGCGGGGAGCTCGATGCGATTGAGGATGTGAATTTAAGGAAGTGCTCCCTCTCCGGTTCCTGTGCACCCAGAGTCCCACAGGTGGGAAGCGCAAGTCCCTCGGGTGGGTCACTGAGGGTGATGGTGAGCGCGGCCGCTCCTCATTCGTCCAGGGCCCGGGTGTTTCACGTTTTCAGGATACAGCGCCACGTAATGCTCATGGACATGGGGTACAGTGATGGTTTAGATCTGGGGCATCCCTAAAACCCGCTATGTGTTTGGGTGGTGATTGGGTCACGGGGTCCCATACTGCATGTGCTAGATGTGCTGGAGGAGATGGGGGCGCGGTTGGAGAAGGATCGGGGAGGGCATGGCCTGGGAGGATGTCTCTCTCCTCCCGGTCCTTCGCTGTACTCTCTGCCTCCTGGCCACTGTGATATGAACCATTTTCTTCTGCCCAGGCCAATCCTTCCTTGGAGCCAGCTGACCAGGAATTGCAACTGTGAGTCAAAATAAACGTTTCCACCGCTAAATTATGGGTATCAGGTACTTTGTCCCAGCAAGGAAAATGACTAATGCATATTATTTTCTGAAGGGTGAAACCCTGTACTGGCATTGCGTTGTCTCCAAGTGGTGTCTTTGCTGTACCTCCAACAGGTCGCTAGTGAGATTTTTGGTCATGGACTTAAAGAGATGCCCAGCAGTGTGATTGTCTTTTCTGTAGCCATGTTCAGTCATTGCTGGGCAGACACAGAGTAGGCTGAGTTGTATTTCACTTGGATTTGGGTAAAACTAGCGAAGTATGCTACAGAGAGACTGCAGTAAGGGGGCCAAAATGTTTACAAGGAACTGATTTGTAATGTTGGGCAGTGGAAACTAAGCAAGATAAACAGTGAAATGAGGCTTGCAATGTCTCACTGCAAAAAACTTGCGGGGATAATAGATTTAAGGGCCCACAGGAGTCCAAGAACTGCTGGGCAGGATATTAGAGGACCTAAGCAGGAAATATAGGAGTTAAACTATCTAAAGAAGGAAGAAAGGTTTAATTTGGCTTGTGCTTTCAGAGGTTTCTGTCCATGGTCTCTTGGCCCAGTTACCCTTGGGCCTGTGACTGTTAATTCAGATTTGTCAACTTCATTGGATTAAGAAATGCCTAGTAGACATGTAGTCTGGACCTCGGATACTATATATGGTCCCTTACCTATTCTCCTCTGGTGCCGTTTCCCTGCTCTGATCCCCCGCTGCCAGGAGCTAAGTGGCTTTGCTCCGCCATGCCCTTTCACCATAATATTTCTGCCTTGTAGCCCTGACTCTGAACTGAATTTCCCCAGACCATGAACTCAATTAAACCTTTCTTTCTTTAATTTGTGTCAGGTAGTGTCCACCAATGGGAAGGCTGCCTAATACAGGACCTGGTAAGAGGTAGATCATGATGTAGTAGTAAAGCAAGAAGTAAAACAAAGAAACAGGAATTGGCTGAGCCCCTTCGAGTTCCCTTCAAGGGAATGCCCCTAGTGACCCAACTTCCTCCCAGTACGCCTCACTTCCTAAAAGCTCCACCATCTCCCAGTAGCACCAGAGGCTAAGCACCGAGCCTTCAACACATGGCCCTTGGGGAATGCTCAGGATCCACATTACAGCAAAGCCATTAAACTCTGCAAGTATTAAAATACTAGGGGAGGATCTTCCAAGGTCTATGGATGAGATATCAATCACGGGGTATATGTCAGATGACGAGTTTTAAAGGAAGTATGGCAGAAGGTTTAGGAAAGAGGAAAAAGCAATGGTCCAGTACAATACTTTTAAAGAAATGAGTTAAGAAAGTTACTGTGATGTTAACAATATTTCTGCTGCCTCACAAGGGTAAGGACCCAAGTTTGATCCCTAGTTTGACCCCAAAACAAACAAACAAACAAACAAACAATATTTCTGGCTAATATCAACTTCTGGGTAGTCAAAATAGGTAATGAATTTATTGGTGAACAATTCCATTAGGAAACAATGTAATAAATCAGTTTTTATAGTATAAATTTACAGCTTTGAATTGTTAAAATTACCAGCTGTCTAAAATTCTCCTTTCAGGATGGGATTCAGCAAAGCAGTAAATAAATGAATTTAGGTACTGAGGGGAAAGCAGCTGTGTTAGTT